GCTGATTTTGGTTTAGGGAGGGAAGCTTAATCCTAGTTTCTAACTATAAATGAAATGTCTTATTAAGAGCATAACAGATACTTGTTTAGGTTTTTAAAAGTGGTTTCACAGAAATTGCAAGAAATGTAGAAGTAAAGAAAAATTATAACAATGAACTCATCTTGATAAAACAATATTCTCTAATAGGCATAAATATATAATAAACAATCAACTATGAAGTAATTCTTTCCAATTTAGGTGAAATTAATGTAACATGGTTGCTAATGCAGTTATTTTACTTCAAATAACTGATCTTAGCTAAGTAAATAGTGTCAGATTGATTGATGCTCAATATTTTCCTTTTTTCTCTGTGCTTCAATACATTTAACACTTCCTTTCCAATGCTTTGATATTTAATCTGATTGATTAATAAGTATATTATGCTTATCATAGTATGACTTGCAATCATTTTTCTTACATACAACATCAGAAAAATTAAAAATTATTATAAATAAAATGCAAATTTCTACCTTAAAGTAGATATTTTAACTTTTTTTCAATAGTTTACTTTTAGATTTCCATCTAGTACAGTCCCATTGTAAATAGTTTTCTTTGAAGCCCATTTTGTCTTCTTCTTAGAACTAAGGAATTCCTCTTTTTCCCCTGATCACAATCTGTAGAATTATCTCCACTTTATATCAGTACATTTGATTATATTATTTTTATGAGCATTCTGTAGAAAAGAGGAAAGTTTTTCAAAAGCCAGAGAGTTGACTACCTACATTAGTTATTCAACAAGGACAGCATATCCAAAATAGAACATAGGCACTTCAGTTTCTGCTTATTCCTGGCACAGGTACTTAGTAACATGAGCATGTGAAACTCAGGTAGGTGACAAGGCAGCAGAAAACGTAGTGAAGTATTTAGCTGCTAAGACAAGATGTATCATTCTTTTTTTGGAGTACAGATTTAGGATACAATATTGAGCTTTTTATGAAATATCAACAAATGTAATTTGTCCAATGCTCAAAATCATTCACATGAATGAATGGTGCTACGACACCATTAATAATACTATGAGAACACAGGATGATGAAATTTCAAATTTTGGCTATTTCTCATTGATATCCACATGCAAGAATAATTCTAGGTTTGTTGTTAATTTTTGTTTATCTTTACTGAAATAAAAGTTAGAGTTCTTTTTCTTTTGTATATGATAAAGCACCTCAGAGCACAATGAAATTGCTGAAATGATATTCAGGCATTTTTTCTTGAGCATTGCATTGGTTTGAAAAGGAAGGAAAGATTTAGAGAAGGTTGACCATGAAAAACAATTATTGGTGAATATGGTATGAATACAGTAAGTTCAGATCACAATTATATAGGTAAATTTTTCTGATTTTCAAAGTAATTCTATAAAGGGTATTACAGAGACATCTATTTGCTTTACACAACAGAATTCTACCATCCAATTTTGTATACAAAACCAGTTAAATTATCCTGCTTTAAAAAAATAAAGATGACTGGTTAAGAGCATGACAAACAATTTAAACTCTAGAGCAAAATGCATTATAAATGTTTACAAAATTATTGATATTCGTCAGAATTCTAGAGTTGGCAAAGAATTCATATAGTGCTTTGTTGTGTGGTTAATTTTGCACACTAAATATTAAATGGGTTAGAATAAATACAGACATTCTCTAAAGATGTTTCTGAATTTCTCCCCTGTTCTACATCCCACAGCTACAATGACAAAGTCTATGTAAGTGTGAACTCATTTTAGGTACTTTTAAAATCCTTTATTTAAACAAGAGAGCACAAAATTCTCGGGTATCTTCCCTTCATTTCTATTATCTCAAGAATCATGATGTCTTTGGTGATTAGTCTCGTATCTATGTTCCAGTTTCTTTGATCAATCTACAATGCTTTTACATAGATGAGAAATAATCTTCAAGAGGCAATAAAAGTAAATTGAACAATGCTGCTACAGATCATACTGTGCTTCAGAAGAAGGCCAAGGGCTTCTTTTACATTCTCATTCCATTTTAAACTTCTCAAATTCTTCATCGTAAAGTATTAGCAATAGGTTTTTCATTGTAGTTTTACAGTAAAGCTGGCAATATTACTCCTAAGCAACTGTCAAAATCCTAAAAATAAAACTTGGGAAAAATGCCTAAGATTTTGCAGTGATATTTATTACAGCCTTCTAATATATAAAAGGAGGCCACAGTGGGATCTAAGGTTGCATAGAAAACAAAAAACCCAGTGATCTGGTTCCATTAGTATTATGACCTCTCCCAACATCACTGGATGCTCTTGATTAAATTACATCATCTGAAGTTTCAATCCACTGTTTGTTTTATCAATAATTAAAATAGTTAACTATTGAAAATAGTTAAAAATTTCTACTTGCAAGTATTTTGTAGCCTCTCATCCATGTGTTTGTTTTTGATTCATGAATGTGTAGTTCCCTGTCTTCAAATCTTCCTTTTTTCGAATGTTTTCCTTTAGGGTAGCACGTATCTAAATAATTTCACTATTGGTAACAATGAAATAAAAATAACATCAGTTCACCTTCAATTTTCTGATAATGCTTCAAACACAGAAAATGATTATGATAATAATAACTCTAACAGCTATTTTAATTGCCTTTAAACATTCCAACCACTATCCTTAGCAGTTTATAATGTCTTGCATTATTCTTATCAAGATGCTATCGCAACTGTTGTTACTTCAATTATTTACATCATAGGTGCTTGAGGCTTTATGTTGGAAGTTACTTAGTTTCTCCTAATATCTGTAATCATAGATCAAAGAGTTTAGAATCATAAAATTAATTATGCTCTTAAAGGTTAATATGAGTCTATCAGACAGAAGCATCCATATTCCTTGCCAGCATGTATTTGGACTAACATCCCAAGTTCTGAATTCCAAAAATGATTGCTGGTAATGTTTATTTAATTTAAAAGTTGTATATATTTTCATGCTGAAACAATGTCACAAAGTCCTCTAAGGCATTCCATAATCCATGAAATATAATTTGGTTACCTTGCATTTATTTATTTTTTGTCTTAAAGAGAAATCTGGTTGTAATAAAAAAGTAATTTCTCTGAAGAAGAGAGAGCGTAGAAGCTGGAACTTTTCCTTTTTGTTTTCCCATCTGACTACTTTGGCCACAGCATCTTTCCTCATGCCCAGAAATGTAGTCAGCTGCTGGGTGCAGGAGAGGCAGACTTGTTTACCTCTGCTCGCCCATGCTCATTGCACCATTGCGCTTGCTTTTATTTTACTCTTCCTGCAAATCTACTACGTATGAAACACATATTGGATCAGGAGCACTCTGCTACAAATTAGGCTTCCTATCTCTGGTTTTGTGGTTTTGTAATAAAATTCACCCACCTCTCTTCCCCCTTCTGCTCTCTATTTCACTTTGCCTTTGGTCACCAGATTTGGGGACCTTGAAGCTCTAGTCCCTATGGCTTAATAGAAGTATCTTTTTCTGATAGCAGAATGAATTATTTTCTGAATGCTGGATCATTCTGAAATCCACTATGGAATAAAAAACTTTGTAGAGATTTGTGTTTAACAGTATAGGATATTTTTCATAGAGTTAAAGGTCAGTTGGATTTGTTTTTTCTTCCACTTGTGAAGTGCTTTATATTCTCAAGAATTTTAGGTAATTCTATGTTCATGTTTCTTCTATTTTATATAATGATTTCTTAAAATTTTAACTGTCCAAAGTGCCTGTCTATTGATTGGTAGGTGTTTTTGTTACAGAGTAGATAGTTAAAATTATGAAAAGTAGAGAAAATTGTAAGGATAACACTTTTTCTGCTTTAATACATAGGGAACTTTTGGTTTTGTGTTATTGATATTTTATCCACTCTCAATACACGCAACACTCACACACACACATACATACACTCACATGAGAGAGAGAGAGAGAGAGAGAGAGAGAGAGAGAGAGACAGTGAGAGAGACAGAAAGGGAAGAGCCTTTTATTTGTCATATATATGTGTGTATATATATATGTATGTATACATATACATATATATATATCTCCTATATTTATCCTGTTGATTTATTTATAGGAAGTGAAATGAATTTACAGAGTACAACATGAGAATCCTGTAGTAAATTCTTATCCCTCTGTGTTTTGGGGGTGTATAAGGAAGCTGGTTTTGTAACTGTTTTTATATCTCTTGCATAATCAGAATTCTGTGCCTGCAGTATATAGACACAAGAGTAAAGATTTTTTTCCTATGCTGTCCCTGGAGCACCACATGGTTGCAAGCCAAAAATCAATAAGATTTACAAAATATAGTTGTTTTCTTGCCCATTTATTGTGCATTGTGAGTCTATTCTGTAACTGCTTACAGAGGAAGAGGAAGGCCACTATTTGCCAGTCATATTATATAGCATTTAATAAAGATTCATGAATTAGCTAATGAGTAAGTAAACTAGCATACACAGCATGTTGCACAGTGCACATGACAGTAAGTTTGAAGGCAGGAAATGGAAGCTCTGAGCTTTTTAGATGATCAGAATGGAATGAAACAAGAACACGTCAAAACACTTTGTGTTCTGTGACTCAGAATCAGTCAGTTGTGAATCACCATGTACCTTATTTCTCTTTAGTGTTACACTGGAGAGATTTAAATGAGCATGCATCCTTCACATTTGCTTAAATCCCTGCTTTGAGATATTTATCTTCACATCCTAATACCAACGAGTGCCACTGACCGAAATAGCTATTAAGAGGCTAGCTTTAAAATAAGGTTTTGAAATGATGTTCTACATTTATGTAGTGAAAAATCATATGATTAAATTCAATGCCCTAGAAGAAACATGGAAATGGTGCTGTGGAGCAAATATAATTCTAGAAATAGCAGTGAACACTATTATTGTAATTTTCTCAGTGTATGTATTAGTATTTTGGGGAATTCAGTATTGTTAACAACTGAATTCTTACCACAATTACATGTCCTGTTTTTTTTGTTTTTTGTTTTGTTTTGTTCTAGGAATCTACTACATCATTCCTTGGCAACAGCTACTCAGCACTGCTGACCTCTTCCACTCAGTCCAGCACTCTACAAATTATTATCTCTGAACTCCCAGCTGACACTCTGCCGGAGGCAAAAGCTACGAAGCCAACTAGAACTGTGCCTTTTCTCTTTTCAAGGTTCTTTTCTTATATAGCAAAAAGGAAGAAAAAAAAAGATGAAGCTGGGCAAAGTAGAGTTGTGCCATTTTCTACAGCTAATAGCTCTCTTCCTGTGCTTCTCTGGGATGAGTCAAGCTGAGTTGCCAAGGTCCAGATCCAAGCCGTATTTCCAATCAGGGAGGTCCCGAACGAAGCGCAGCTGGGTATGGAATCAGTTCTTCGTGCTGGAAGAATACATGGGTTCAGATCCCCTCTATGTAGGCAAGGTAAGGCATTTGGCATTTCAAAATTTTAGGTCCCTGTCAATGTCTGTGATTGGATGAAGAGCTGCTAACTTTTTATTTAGTGATAAAAGACAAAATTTTCCGTTTTGAAAGATTTCATGATGTTTCTGTCATTAACTACTGCGTCAGGTGGGATAGTGAAGTTGTAGCTTAAGGAGTGATATTATTTTCTTAGATATTAGAAGACTGGTTTATCATAATTGGAAAATGCATCTAAGCTCTTATTAATACAATTAGAACAAGATGACCCACTAAAATATGCAATAATATGCTTCTTCTACTAGTTGATATTGAAAGCTTTTTGTCAGTTTATAATAATTGGACACAACGAGTTTCATTACGGCATTTTCATACATGTATAGAATGAATTTTGACCATATACAAAGTCAAACCTAATACTTTCAATAAATTCCTTCCTTCTACTTTGCCTCACCAGCTAGACCCCCATTAGTTTTCATGGTTTTTTTTTTTTATGTTTTTTTTTGTGATCCACTAAATTTCATCACAGTTACTTATAAGAGGATGATTTACAAGTTGTAGAGTTATTTAGAGGCATATCCTCAACTTACCAGTGTCTATGCCAAGAAAGAAACCATCTGCTCCTCTCTTGAAACATTAGAGTAGATTCTCTAGTAGCTAGTCAATTATGTCCACGTGGACCCATACTTATGTGTCTTCCCCCAAACTTAGCATTAGAAATTCTTTGACCTCATGGCTTCAATTATAAATAGCTCAAATCCAATTTCTTAGTTATCTTCTTTTGATAGACCTGTTATTTTTTTCTTGCTTTTGAAAAGATCATTTATTTTAAATATGAGCATGAATAGAACTGAGTTTGAGATGCTATTAAACAAATGATAAGCAGTTTATGGTGTATGTATTCATGGTATTTGGCAGACAAATTGAGATTTTTTAAAAATTATCATTTCTTTTGTCTCAATACTTGGATAGAAAATGTTCCTTTGAGAGCTCAGTGACCTAAATGTCATGTCAAGAGATCATAGACTCTTGTTCACTTTTCTTAGGTAGACCTTATTCCCAGGCTAGGCTTTTCAAAGTATTAGGACATCCTAAATTCTTCAGTGTGCCACTCAGTACTGCTAAAAGATTTCTGAATAGGATAGATTGGTAAATAAACTAAACAGCAGGATATCTTCCTTTCATATCACTAGCTTTAGTGTATATTTCTCACAAAATATAGCATAGCTTACTAAGACTGGTGCTGAGAAATCAGGGTTTTTTTATTTGAAAAATGAAGAAAGAATATTTGATATTCTATAATGGTGATTTTGCTCACATTAATGGGTTAAAATATTGAAAAAATGTTAATGAATATATAGTTTTAAGGTCATTTTTAATATTTTAACTTCTTTGTAATATTTAGGATACTAATTGATTCTTTGTGGGAAATAGAAAGACAGAAATTGTTAATGTGTTCTAGACCTGTGGGTCAGGACTCAGTTTGGACCAGGAACGTGCATTTTCCTTAAATAAAAAGTATATGAGCCAGGCGGTGGTGGCGCCTTTAATCCCAGCATGCAGGAGGCAGAGGCAGGCGGATCTCTGTGAGTTCGAGGCCGGGCTGGACCGACAGCCTCCATAACAATACAGAGAAACCCTGTCTTGTAAAACCAAAAGAAAATGTATATGTAAATATCAAATACAGTGTACTTTCCAACTGTAATATATATATTTTCTGGTTTCCATGGCTCTATACTCATGTGCACAAACTTCTATAAATATGTACACATGCACATAAGTTAATTATAAAAAAATCATTCATAAAAATTTAGAATGGGCATCAATACAATAATGAATCATTTTCTTTTCTTTTTTTTACAATAGAAACTAATAAATTATTGATCCTAAATGAACATAGAATTAAAGAAAAAAACCCTATTTTACAATGATTGTGTTCTGTTTAGAGTCACAGCATACTTCTCCGGGGTTAATTACTGCTATGCGGCATTTTTTATAATTTCTTACGTGAGGCAATTGACTGAAGACACCTTTCTGCTTCTTCTTGGAGTGTCACAGTGGATCTGTTTGCTGTACACAGGAGGCCCCATATCCCAAACAACACATGTCACTGGTGTAGTTTGTCAGCCCACTTTCCCCTCACCTTGGTAGTTCTCACTTAATGTGTCCTAACCGACTGAACAAAAAAAAAAAAATCTGTCTACAAATCTACCAAGACTCTGTCCCAGGTGTTAAGTGGTTTTCATCTTTGGTAACTGTAATGGGCTGCCGGCTGATGGCTGCGCCCCAAGCCATTACTTTCCCAGAAATATGTGCTTCCTGTAACTTCCGCAGCCGGCTTCCTTCATTGCTAACATCACTCTGGCCTTTTTATGCTACTCCCACTTCTTCCGGACTCATTCAGGGAGAATTTATACCTATTACCCAGTAGAAATCAAATTCATAGAAATGCCATGGTCCTTACTTGCATTCCTTTAAATCGACAGTGTGGATGAGCATTCACTGCTCGTTTCCTCCATTACATGCAAGCTCATCTTTCTCAGAAACTTCAGCATCTCCAAACACGATGACAGCACTAACTGCTGCAAGAAAGAAAATTTCACCATGAACATAAGTCACATCCTTAAATACAAAACACACAAAAGGAAAATAACAAATCAAAGGACTACTTTGGAAAAACATCTTTATTGTTAAATATATGTTATATAAGCTCTAGTGTAAAAGAATATTTTAAAAAGAAAACAATCCTCTAAATATATATGCTGTCTATAGTCAGATAAAAACATGAGAGTAAGCACTGGTATTTTTGTTTTTGCTATTTTTTTTTTGTATGAACAGATAGGAAATAGTTTCCATAGTATCTCTATAACCAGTTTGTTGGTGAAAACCCTTACGCTTATCTTCTTAGCTTGCTGAGAGAAACCTGGAATTCCTGGTGTTTTCAAAAGAATTTAGGCACTGATTAGCTCTGTGAGATGCAAACAAATTCATTTTTTTAAAGAAATACTTCCAGGTAGTTATTTTTAGCTCACAACAATCCAAGATTAAGAAAATAGATGAGCTTTCTCCATATGAAAACAATAATTCACAATTTGTGTTTGGTATATTATTTTTTACAATTTTGGAAATAGTATACATATTAATGTCATAGTACAATACAGAAAACCACAGTTATTTAAGTTCATTTTGCCATCTTCACTGTTTTATTAATTTATAAATGAAAATGACAAATCCCAAAATCTGTTAGATAACTATAAAATTAGCAGTGGGAGGATGGGGGAACTTTCAGTTTAGATTGTACACAACCACATAGTTGTGGATGAAATTTCCCTACTCAGTCCCTGATGATGAAAATGACTTAATGATCTTGCTCACTTTTATGTCTGCTTGCCTTTATTGGCATTCTGTTTGCCACATGTTTAGTAACAGAAACAGCAATAAGGAAGAATATAATATGTTTTACATGATATATGTACATTCGTATGTATATGTATATTATGTTTCCACTGAGGTTTTAAGTATAGAAGACATGACATAAACAAAAATGTAGATTAGATGTCTTTGTAAAGTGCACTATCATTATTTTCACATATTCTATGTGATTATCCTATTGACAAAATGCCATTGGTCTTATTGCTATTTCTGTAGCTCATTAATATAATTATGGAATTAAATAAAAACAAAACAGATACTTTTTTCTGATTTAAGCATATGGAGATATGTCCTATTGGAATAAATTTTGTCATAACCATTTTTTATGAATTATATTGTAAGTCTTAGTTTTAATGCCTGAGAAACTGCTTTCTCAAAAAAGTTTAATATTGTGTTCCATTAAATCACTTTCAGGAGTTGTTAAGCCTGATATTGACATTCTTTTTTCTTTTCTTGCTTTTATCATTTCTTTCTCAAATACATATGACATCATTATTTTGAAGAGACAATGTGCTACAGTGTTTAACTGAAGAGCTAAGACTAAAAATGTTTTTAATAGAATGTCCAATCTGAATCACAAGTAAAACAGGTTACAAGCTGGCAAAGGTATACAGTGAAATTTAAAGTTAACCTTTATCTCTGTGGAAGAAGAGTGCAGAAGTTTTAAATCAGGGAATCATGAAAAAAATGCATGTGTGTCCATATCTCTATAAATTGTTTTATAGTTTATATATATTCTTTATACCAAGGTTAAAAGGACTAAGTGAATTATCCCCTTAGGAAGTGGAGCAAAACCTTCTAAAATTTTACTGGAGGATCTCTATTAAGCAGGAAAATTGTTAAGCAGAAACATAAATCAAACGATTAGGGTTAATTTCTTTATCAGTCAAGATGCATATTTAAAAAATTCTAAGTTATTTTAAGTTTAGAAATGAATTGCAAACTACTGTTCCAAATTTTAGTTCCGCCAAATATTAGTATCCTAAGTGTGTATTGTAAATGCTCAAACTAGGAAAGTGATATTGATTTGGAACACACTTACTGATCAAGTTGTGTTCTAATTTTGTCTTAATGAGTTTCTTTATGGAAATCAAGAAGTATCATGATTTCCTTCTGTGCTATCTCCTTAAACTTTTAGAACATGAGAATTTGTGGCTTTGGGTTTGTGGTGTTTCTGTTTTTTTATTTCTGTATGTTTGTGTGTACATGTCAATGTGGATGCACACAGAGACCAAAGGTATATGTCTAGGCCATGCTTAATTGTTCACCTCATTTTTAGGACATTTTCCATCCCTGAAACTGAGGCTCACCAATTTGGCTAGTTATGCTTGCTGATGAGCTTCAGGAATTCTCTTTTCTCTTTCTGCCTCCCTTGCCCTGGGGTTATTGTCTAGTACCACCATATACGGATTTTCAAGAGGTCATGGGGCTTCAAACTAAGGTCCTTGTGTTTCTACAGTTACCACTGTACAGACTGAGCCATCTGTCTAGCCCCTGCTATAACTCATATATGCATATATATTTTTTAAATAAAATATCTTTCACATGATATATTTTGATCAGTTTCCCTC